ACAGTACTATGATTATTACATCATACAATATATAAGTTAACAACTCTACAGAGTTGGTTATTATATATTTTACCTTAACTTAATTATATCTTAAGCATAGTACTATACTCAGATTGTAAAAATATATAAGCTAACAAACTCTACAGAGTTTGGGCTTTTATATAGGTAGCTTAAGCTTATTCATATCTTAAGCTCAGTTACTATGTTTATATCATATAAGTATATTAGCTAACAAACTCTAAAGAGTTTTTGCTATTTGGCTTAAGTCTCATCATATCTTAAGCAATATGGTTACATTATAACATGTATTAGCTAACAAACTCTCATGGAGTTTTTGCTATATGTAACTTTAAGCTTATTCATATCTTAAGCGCAGTACTATGTTTATACCATATAGGTATTTTAGCTATCAAAACTCTAAAAGAGTTTTTTGCTATTATATATTTGGCTTAAGTTTCATCATAATTTAAGCTTTATGGTTACATTATAACTTGTATTAGCTAACAAACTCTACGGAGTTTTTTTTTTGCTATTATATATGTAGCTTAAGTTTCCTTCAAATCTTAAGCTCAATGCTATGTTTTATCATATAAGCATATATTAGCTAACAAACTCTCACTGGAGGTTTTGCTATTTATATATGTAGCTTAAGTTTTCCTTCATAAACTCAATACTAGGTTTATATCATATAAGTATTTTAGCTAACAAACTCTAAAGGGCTTTTTTGCTATTATACAATTAGCTTTAAGTTTCATCATATCTTACAGTATGGTTACATTATAAAATGTATTAGCTAACAAAACTCCACGAGTTTTGCTATTATATATATAGCTTAAGTTTAATTATATCTTAAGCTCAGTACTATGGTTATAACATAAAAGTATATTAGTTAATAAACTCTAAGGAGTTTTTTTTGCTATATACATTTAGCTTAAGTCTAATCTTATCTTAAGCTTAGTACTATGGTTACATTATTAATCTATAAGCTAATAAACTCTACAGAGTTTTGGCTATATTATATATGTAGCTAAGCTAATTATATCTTAAGCACAGTACTATACTCATATTGTAAAAATATATTAGCTAACAAACTCTACAGAGTTTTGCTATTATATATGTAGCTAAAAGCTTATTCATATCTAAAGCTCAGCATTATATATATATCATATAAGTATATTAACTAACAAACTCTAAAGAGTTTTGCTATTATATAATTAGCTTAAGTTTAATCATATCTTAAGCTTTAGTACTATGTTTATATCTTAAAGTATTTTAGCTAACAAACTCTAAGGAGTTTATACTAGCATATTAACAAGCTTAAGTCTATTAGTCTTAAGCATTGTATTAATGTTATATATACTTTATCATAATAAGTACTTTGTAATAACCTTTATATGGCAGCTGATAAGTTAGCAGCAGTGGGAATTCATCAAGTTCAGTACCTTTATGAAGTTCCCATAGGGTTATTACAATCATCACAGTTCAAATCACTAATTATTAAAATCCAAAGTATTATATTTTTCCCACCTCCTTTCTCATCGGAGTCTACAAGCAAAGAGCATGAGTCAGGATAAGGAGAAAATATGTAATTTTTAGAGTAAAATTGATATTTTATATTTATCCTGACTCATGAGGTAAGCTCCTCCCATCCTCCCCACATAACACTTTGGATTTCCTGTAAATTCAAAATGTTGGGCCTCAGCATATGAGGAGAGAGTGAGGCACATGGGTGGAGGTGGCGCCCTCGTTCCCGCGCTTGTGGAAGGGAGGTAACTCGTGCTGAGTACTAATTAGTGATTTTACATTGAAGGGAGCTTCAATTAGGGAGATACAAGTGTTCCACTATGTTCGCAAGAAGAAGAAGACAAGCAAAAAGAGCATGAGTCAGGATAAGTATAAAATATCAATTTTACTCTAAAAATTACATTTTTTAAATCACCCAGCAATGATGTGAATTTGTGGCAGATGTTTTCTCCTATTTTACTGTCTAAATCATAACTATTTTTTTCAAGCTAATTTGAGACCAATTTATAATTTTTGATAAAATCTCAGCGCATTAATCCACCCCCTCCCTATGACACCATAGAACCACACCCCCAAGAAAACCAAAATGACGGTCCTTATGCTGTCATGTTGCCAACCCAGTTTCAGTCATGATACTTGCAAGGCCGTCTATGTCTTGAAGTTGACATCAAAGACACAATGGAAGTGGAAGCGAAGCATTGACAGTAGACCAGAGACTGGACAAAGACCGGACAAAGACAGATTTCTCTGCAGGGTCTATTTCTGTGGTCAATGCCTGCGTTTCCATGGCAATAAAATGAATTTGATAGATTACATTTTGTAGATTGTCTGAGCATTGAGTTTGTGTTGTGTTCTGGTACGATCATTGTGATAAGTAATAAGAAATACAAGTGTGTGCTGGAGATGTTGAACTGAGACTGGAAGTAGTTGTGTTACTGGCTGTCACGAGGGAGCTCGGATTTCACATAGCTTGGAAAGGTTACGTTTAAGATTTCACCACGTCATTTTGTTGCTACGAAGAGATTGAAAATCAAAATTTATGTAGGAGTGAGACATAAAAAATATAAAAATAGATGAAGCAGGAATGTTTCAGTTTACTGAAATGTATTTACCTTGATGAAGGATGGTTTTGTCATTGACCTGAGTTGTATTTTATTGTTCTAAGCATCAATGTTCTAAATCAGTGCTGTAGACATGCACTTTTGTTGAAGAATAATCTGTCTCAATTAATTGGTGATAGGTTGGGTTTTTTACGTAATAAATCATGTTTGGTTTGTGATTAAAATTTACAATGTTATGGAGTCTCAATCAATCACACCTGTCAAAAATGAATTTGATAATTGATTATAACCTTGCCTTTGCATGTGTTTGTGCTCGGTGTCATAGGAAAGGCAGGATTAGCTCACTCTTTCATGAACACCTGGTGCCCACACGGTTTGATATTGATTCATAAACACATCCTCATGATATAGTCATTTCTTCCAATTGTGGTTCTTTGTTCTTGCTTTTGTGTTTCATCAATTCAGGGGTTGGTGACGCTTTCATCTTATTTGTCCCTATGGTGTGTCCATTTATGTTTCTTCAATTCAGGGGTTGGTGACGCTTTCATCTTATTTGTCCCTATGGTGTGTCCATTTATGTTTCTTCAATTCAGGGGTTGGTGACGCTTTCATCTTATTTGTCCCTATGGTGTGTCCATTTATGTTTCTATTTGTCCCTATGGTGTGTCCATTTATGTTTCATAGGGGTGATGGGGGTAGTCTAGTGGTAAAAACATTTGCTCGAGCTCAATTCCCAACATGGGTACAATGTGTGAAGTCCATTTCTTGTGTCCCCTGCTGTGATGCTGCTGGAATACTGCTAAAGGCAGCGTAAAACTCACTCACTCACTCACTCACTCGATTGTTTTAAGGTTTGTCATCGCCATACATACTCTATATGGTTTCACTAAAATATTCAGTGTTAATAAGGCCTGCATGACTTTGTGCTTCCTTCCCACCTCAAGCTTGCACCCCATGATGTTGCAGAAATACTGTTCATTTAGCAGCTTTTCACTCAACTCTCAGTTCCTAATTGTGTTGAATTCACACCTGAACTTTTGTGACATGATGTGACACTAGAATCACAGCAAGGTCAAAGATACAGTGCACAAGGGAGACCATGCAGTTCAGATCATGTCATTCAAAACCCACATCATCCTCAAGGAGATAATATAGTAAACTTTAAGGAGAACATGCAAGATAGAATTCGCAATATCCAAAGAAATACCACCGCCAAGATCTATTGTTTTCTCCTGAATGTCTAAGATATCAAAAGATTCCTTCCACGTATAATTGGCAAGGTTTCTTAGTTTCCCTGACTTCTTACCCCCATCACTTGTCACACTGCGAGCACCGTCAAGCACATCCAACTCCGAGCCGCCAATTTTAGCATCTTCAACACGTGGTCTAGATTGACCAACCACTAACTCCTTTCTAAGGCACTCCACCTCCTTTCCTAGTTTCATCCGCTTGTCTCGAGGTGTAGACGTTTTATTTCAGCCTCAAGGGCTTCACATTCAAGTTCCAAACGAGTATTTCCATACCACGTGAACTTGCAGCTGAAAACTAGTGACGGCAATTTAGCCTGTGTGGTCGGTTCGCAAGGTGAACTACAACAAACCCTTCATCACGAGGAGAATGTTTGATTGACTCCAAAGCTGCCATCATTTTAAGTCCTGCATTCCTGCGTTTTGGCTTCACGTCAGCCATCACAAACCACTTGGTCATCGTAAACAAACAATAAACAAAATAGCAAACACTGAGCAACAAACACAATGCGGGCGCGAAACCAACTTCAGTGAAATGCCAAAGGGAGGTAACTCTAATAAAACTAGCGTGACCATGGAAAGGGAGGTCACTCCTGACTAATGTATCAAAATATATTTTACTAAGATAAAATATTGCTTTAAGGAGAACATGCACGATAGAATACTTTCATTCAAACCCATGTCAAGATCAAGGACATCATACAGTGCTCTTTAAGACTAAACACACTTGTTGAGTTCTGTCAGCTAAATTGTCTGTCTGCTAATTGATATTTGATGCTATGTTTTAACTGACAAGTAATAAACATCAAGACACTGATAGAGATGCAGTAACCTATTATTCATCATCATGTCCCTCTTATAGATAAGGGCGGTGGGGTAGCCTAGTGGTTAAAGCGTTGGCTCGTCACGCCGAAGACCCGGGTTCGAATCCCCACATGGGTACATTGTGTGAAGTCAAAATTCTGGTGTTCCCCGCCGTGATGTTGCTGGAATATTGCTAAAAGCGGGGTAAAACTAAACTCACTCACTCACTCTTGTAGATAAGATATAGTCGCTATATGGCTGAAAAAATGCTGATGCGACGCAAAATTTTAACTCACTCACTCACACTTGTAGATGCGTAACTGACTCTCAAAGCATCAAAAAAATGCCATTTTCTTTGTTTCAGCATGTGACATGAATGTCCACAAAAAGATGTGAAATGAACGTTCCCAAGCTCTGCGGCATCGACCACACAGAAAGAAGAGGACGTATTAATCTTAGAATTACACATCTAACTGGCAAATTGAAAATTGAAGGTAATTATGTTTCCATTTTGTCTGTACATCATGATTTGTTGTGAAGCATATTAAAGCATTTCAACAGTCTCAGTTATATTTTGGTCAGCACTGATAAGTCAAGTAGTAATATGTAACAAAAGATGTTTTCATGGAGGACAAGTATATATGAAATATTGCCTTACAAAATTGTAATCTTTCATACCCTTTCATAAAAGAAATGATGAAAGATGTATCATCATGTTAATGATACAAAAAATGCTATCAAGAAATTGTGTACCATCATAAAATCTAAAACTGATGTCATTCATAAATAGTCTGTGTTTCACAAGGAGGGATATTGTCACAGGTGTTTCAGCTTCATTAGAATCTTTTGTCAGAGCATCACTTCTCATCAGCTCATATTTAAGATGAGCTGAAGTGAGAACTACGTCATAATTTGGTGGACAGTGTCTAGCTGTGACTTTCCTCTTCAGAAAACAGTAGACCGATAAAGTGAAAACCTGGCTTCATTTTCTGACTATTGATAACACGGCTGTTTGACACATTCTCCTATGTTTGGACTCGATTTTTAAATGAAGAAAAGCAAACATTATGCTTTAAAAAAAAACAATTTAAAATTTCTTCTTTTGAACCCTTTGAATTAGCTTACTTTTTAAATACCTTCTAACAGTAATTACTACAATATTTGTCAGGGGTGGGGTAGCAGAGTGGTTAAATTGTTCGCTCGTCACGCCAAAGACCCGGGCTTGATCCCCACATGGTTTAAATATGTAAAGCCCATTTCTTGTATCCTCTGCCATGATATTGCTGGAATATTTCTGAAAGCAGCATAAAACTAAACTCACTCAATATTTGTCTATTGGTCATGATTTATTCAATACTTTTTCTTGAATTATAAAACCTGTGAACGTCCGGATTAGAATATTGGACTTCAGTAACCCATGCTTGTCGTAGGAGGCGACTAACGGGATCGGGTGGTCAGGCTCGCTGACTTGGTTGACTCATGTCATCGGTTCCCAATTGCGCAGATCAATGCTCATGCTGTTGATCACTGGATTGTCTGGTCAGGATCGATTATTTACATACCGCCGCCATATAGCTGGAATATTGCTGAGTGCGGCGTAAAACTCAACTCACTCACTCACTCACTTGAATTATGAATAATTTGAATTGAAATACACTTTAATGAATTGGAAGAGAATGAGCAAGAAAGTTTTTTGGTTAATAACTATTATCTTACCTATGTCCATTGGCTCTGCTTAACTGCCACTCTTGCTAATGGTTGCCTTGACATGTGGATACCTGGAATGACAATACTAATGCTAATTAACCATTTTAATCAAACAATTTAGATTGGCTAACATTTCTCCAGTGGAATATATGACAATTTGAGCTGAACTTATTTCAGAAATTGCATTGCAAGAATGTAAAAGCAAATCCCACTTGTCTATCAGAAAATTAATACTGATAGAATAATATACTTTAACCATGAAATACTAGAAAACTATATCCCAAAATTTTACAAACTTTTCCTGAGTGATTTTTTGTAAAAAGTATTACTTTTTAATACAACATAATTTTTATTGTTCCATAGCTAAGATGAGGTTTCTTTTCAATCTGGACAGGCAAATGACAATAGTGTCCTGTATAAAACACTGAAGTATGTAGAAAAAAATTAGGCACAGAGCCATCACCCTGCTGAACGCCTCCATGTGCCTGGATGATTGATATAGGATTTGTGTCCTCTAGTGTTGCTTTTGATGAGGTTTAATAGCTACACATATTTGGCTGCTAAATACAAGAGTGGCTGAGAGAACAAGGCCCACAGTTATTGATTGTTAGACCTGTTACAAGCTTCTGGCATCTTTTGAGTGAGATTACAGTTTTCAGTTTTTACCCGTTTGGAATTTCCAAATTGCTGTAGGGAAGATCAAGACATGTTTATGCCATTCACAAAAAGTGTTATCAATCATAACGAAGAAAAAAAGCAATAGCCGCAAAATGTACAAACCCCCTCAGAGCAGTATTCTTGCATTTTATTTGCAAGCTTTTAGATAAATTATTTATTGGTGATTTCCTCCATCAGAATCAGAGGTAATTTCCTCCGAGATCCGAGTGATGTGTTTCTGCCTTTTTAAAAGTTTATCAATTTTATTACAGTAAAAACATGTCTTTTCAGAATAAAAGAATCTAATTTGTTCATTGAGCTTTGTTTGTCTTGTGAAAATACTGTGATGGATAAATTTGGTTCTGATATGTCATATCATAATAGCCAAAGGCCCTTCTTGATGAAGTTCAGTAGGAAAAAGGGAGGTATTTGAACCCATTTAGAGGTACATTGTAAGGGAGGATATTTGATAGATTAATTTCTTCTGACAATATTTGGTTTCTTGATGTAAATATTTTTGTATTGATAATTCCCTGATAGTTTTCTTTTGTGAAAGCCAAGTAATCAAGAGAACTTGGCAGGGTTTCAGTTGTTCAATAAAGTTAATATCACAACCCCCTGGTATCAGTGGGAGATTTGTTCCCATCTTGATTATGAAATATAAATATTGGCTGTGGGTGACTGTAAAGGAAATATTGAGTTTTGTACGGAGGTGTTGCACACATTTTTCTGGTTCATCCAGTCTGGGCCAACAGATAACAGCAAGACATGCCTTGTCAGTGCTTGCTGAAAGAATAAGATTTTGTATCACTTTTAGATTTCACACGAAGGATAAGCATTTATGTAACATTGCTTAGTTTTTGTTGACATTACTCAGATGAAGGAAAGATTGTGAACTGAAATACTTGGAGCAATGATAACATGAACGGGTAGGGACTGGAGGAACTTGACCTTATTGCATACCTTTTAGATAAGAAGAAAAAGGTTGAATAACTGCATAATGGCATCCTACTCCATACTGTTAAAAATGGATGAAGCCAACTTTATGATGTTACGTAGACTGAATATTTAAAGGGCAACATGTAATTGGAAATGTTTTTTTCTGAATTTGACCACTAGTTGTACTTTGCTTTTATATCCACACAGTGCTTGGACATGACAGGAATAGCTTATCATGCAAATCACTAGGGGTTGGTACAGAGAATTTTCATATCGAGCATATAATTGCAATATATTGCAAGAATATTTTATGTTAATGCTTGATTTAAAAAGCAAAACACAACAAAATCACTATGCTTGATTAAGCTTCAATCATGTTAAAATGAAGGAAACAAGGAAAAGAACAATTTAACATCAACACAGTGGTTACTAGTTTGAACTAGTTTCTCCACTCTCAAAAAAGCCCTGAGATTTTTTTAGACAGCAACTTGACCTGGTCAGGACATATCAGGGATCACTGGTCAATAATGAGTAAATATATATATAACATTCAGATCCAAAACATTGCGAAACACTTGAACAAAAATTAAGAACACAACTTCAAACCGAACTTAACTTGATTTCTGAGGTGAAAACGGAATATCCGAAGATTTCCGAGTGTTACGAAGTTTTCCGAATGCATGTCAAACAACCGGTTTTCAATCTGGGTATGCATAATACGTCGATTTCATGTCTGGCCGGTAAATACCGGTAAACCGGTTATATATACAGCCCTACAAATCACATGGGAATATGTTCATCACACATTCACCAATCATTTCAAGTGTCAAGGTCACCCCTTATTTCATAGCCATAAAAAAGTTCACTGGATGATAACAAGCTACATCTTCTGTATGTCAATGAAAGTAGCTTTGATGTTAGATGTTGTACCTGTGGCCAAGGTCAAATAGGTCTGACAAATGCATTTTATTTTGATATTTTAATGACTTTGTAAGTGTTATGTATGTAGTAGCTAAATCGTCTAAATGTTTACGTGACACGTGAAGACAATCTTATGATTAGGTCATTGTTGTCCACTTCTTTGAGTTGCATTTAGAGGTTTGTGAGATAAAGAAGGGGATAGTTCCATAGATATACAATTTCTTTGTTACATTATATGCCATGTTTTGGTTTAGATGCTAACATTGTTATCAAGCAAGTGATCACTTTCTTGACATCAATGTTAGCATCTACCCAGAAAGGTTGCATATATTGTAATGAGTGAGTGAGAGAGTTGGATTTTACACCGCTTTAAGCAATATTCCAGCAATATCACAGCAGGGGATACCAGAAATGGGCTTCACACATTGTGCCCATATGGGAGTCGAACCCTGATCTTTGGCATGGCAAGCAAACACTTTAACCACTAGGCTACCCCACCACCACTATATTGTAATGAAGAAGTTGTATATCCATGGCACCATCTCCCTTGCCCATTGTGACCCATGATGTTGAATTCCATCCTGGACTGACTGACTGAGTTTGGTTTTATGCCGCTTTTAGCAATATTCCAGCAATATCACGGCGGGGAACACTAGAAATGGGCTTCACACATTGCACCAATGTGGGGATTCGAACCCGGGTCTTCCGTGTGACTAGCCAACGCTTTAACCACTAGGCTACCCCACCGCCCCTCCATCCTGGAGCTTCATGTTTGTTTATATGCAGGATAATCCTTTGGAATGTTCTTGAAATACACTTGATGCTGGAAGTATCACTCAAGGTTATACAATAAAAATGTACTGTATTCTTTATAATCCATTGAGAAGCCTCTTGTAAAGAATGAAATTTGTTGCATTTCATTATTTAAATAGCTGTAATTAACATCTGACTTGATGTATTTTACCTGTTAGTTGTTTTTATGTTTGTATGTGTATGGCACAAGATTTCGATAAACAGTAGATTTAATAATGATAATGTCACAAGTTGGTTTCCTTGATTTTGAGTCTGTGTGAAGAAGTGATAGGCCATCCTTTATCATGTGCTTCTGTTTGCAGTCCTAGAGGCACGAAACCTGCCACCCATGGACCCGAATGGACTGGCCGATCCATACGTCAAAGTGAAGCTCATTCCAGACGAGTCTAACAAGTCCAAGAAAAAGACGAAAACAGTCAAGTCTACACTCAACCCTGAGTGGAACGAATCATTTACCTTGTGAGTGAAGAAGAGCTGCTTATAGTAGAAATCAGTAGAATTTCTTACTAGACAATGGATCACGACTGAGACACCATTGATTTTTATCGTTTGTCTCAAGTTTCTTTGTCTCTCATTGCCTTTGAATTTTACTTTAGAACGTAGAAGTTGATAATTACAGACATAGTGCCAATTAGATTTACCTAATGATTCTTTCAAGTCAGTATTCAGCCCCTTGGAGTTAAACCATCCTTTTGGCTGGCCCAGTTGTCACTGTAAGCATTGTTTATAAACAGGTGCTAAGGAGCTTTGTAGACATTCTCAACAGCGAGAAAATTGCCTAATGAGATTCTGTTGACAGTGGTTCCAAAGCAGCCTGCTGGCGAGAGCCCACCATTGTCTTACAGACCTTTCCTTGGTCTGTCGCTCTTTCCTTGAGAGTTTCTAAATTTGGTCGACCACTTCACAGGGATTTGCCCATTATGCCATTCAGTCCATTAGAAATATGTCCCCGAAAGAGGAAGTCCATTGTAGGGAGGAGGATGAGTACCAAAAATCGGCAGTAATTATTGCCGAGGTCTTGGACTGATTGAACAGAGTGGGATAAGATTAACTTAATAGTCCTTTCTACATCAGGGCTGGTTTGATGATTGTCTAATGGGCTTGTAGACTCGTTACCCCAGACGCAATGCATGCGGCCGTGCTCCCAGTTCCGATGGACCATCTTGCCATCGCCTGACTGTCTCATTCGGATCGCGTTGCGTGATATTGCATGCCTATTGAAGGAGACGTGCACCCACTTAGCAACAGATGCCTGCCAGACTAGGGGTTTTAAGCTGCCTGTCTGACTCTGTCGATAACTCATCTGATGCTGCATGTGATGTCTCTCAAGGACTTCTGTGAACATGTAGAGCTAATGTGGACTAAAATGATTGTATTTCTGGTCAGTTGATGTCATACATTGTATTAATATATACAAGTTACGACATTTTGCTTCCGCCGATGTGGACAGGTACATGATATACTCCAGTATCAGACACTTTGACATTTTCTTGTGGACAATAAATGGGAAATTATTTATTGATGATTCTTTGAAATTAAATGGTGATAATCTTCCACTGTCAAAAGCTAATCAACACATTTTACCTTCCAGACGATCTGTTCCGATGAAAACAAAGGTTGCATGATGTATATGTTGTAGACATGTCATGGAGATGAACATCAAAGCTGACATTTACTGGGACATTGTACTTATGACACTTTGTTTTAAAACACAGAAAACTATGATATTGACATGCAGGGAAACTTAGAGGAGGCCCTTTGTACAGACAGTTACAAAACAAAAGTCAGACTTTGCTAAACTTCACCAGAATGGTCAACATGGCTTACTGTATGCATGGTGGCCCAGACTGACATACCTGTACTGGTTCAGTTCTTTGTTGTTATGGTTTATGCATGGGGCAGTAGGGTAGTGCAGTGGTTAAAGTGTTTGCTCATCACGCCAAAGACCCGGGTTCAATTCCCCATATGGGTGCAATGCGTGAAGCCCATTTCTGGTGTCCCCCCACCGAGATATTGCTGGAATATTGCTAGAAGTAGCATCAAACTAAACTCACTCACTCATTATTATGGTTTATGTACTCCCAAGAACTTCATTGCAGGTGGTCACGTTGAGCTGAATTTCCTGGTTGAAAATTTCCATTCACTGTCTTACTGGTGTTATTGAATGCTTTTTGGCATAAGCATTTTCCCATTTTATACACATAGTGTCTGTTATGATAATTATCTGCTTTGTGCCTATGTCTTTCAGCAATGGTCTGATTGTTTCAGCGACCTCGGGTCTGATGATGCTCTGTTTCAGTGATCTCGGGTCTGATTGTTTCAGTGATCTCGGTTCTGATGATGCTCTGTGTTTCAGTGATCTTGGGTCTAATGATGCTGTGTGTTTCAGCGACCTTGGGTCTGATAATGCTCTGTGTTTCAGTAATCTCAGGTTTGACTGTTCTGTGTTTCAGTGACCTCGGGTCTGATAATGCTCTGTGTTTCAGTAATCTCAGGTTTGACTGTTCTGTGTTTCAGTGATCTCGGGTCTGATGATGCTCTGTGTTTCAGTGATCTCGGGTCTGATGATGCTCTGTGTTTCAGTGATCTCGGGTCTGATGATGCTCTGTGTTTCAGTGATCTCGGGTCTGATGATGCTCTGTGTTTCAGTAATCTCGGGTCTGATGATGCTCTGTGTTTCAGTGACCTCGGGTCTGATGATGCTCTGTGTTTCAGGGATCTCGGGTCTAATGATGCTCTGTGTTTCAGCGACCTCGGGTCTGATAATGCTCTGTGTTTCAGTAATCTCAGGTTTGACTGTTCTGTGTTTTAGTGACCTCGGGTCTGATAATGCTCTGTGTTTCAGTAATCTCAGGTTTGACTGTTCTGTGTTTCAGCGACCTTGGGTCTGATAATGCTCTCTGTTTTAGTAATCTCAGGTCTGACTGTTCTGTGTTTCAGTGATCTCGGGTCTGATGATGCTCACAAGAGAATCTCAATGGAGGTGTGGGATTGGGACCGCACATCTCGCAATGATTTCATGGGGTCACTGTCATTCGGTATCTCGGAGATCCTCAAGAACCCAGCAGATGGCTGGTACAAACTCCTGAGCCAGGAGGAAGGGGAGTTCTATGGTATTCCAGTCAGTGATGAAGTCGAACCTACCATCGAAGAGCTCAAACAACTACAGGTCGAGGTGTGATATGCTCTTCTTTATCATCTTTAAAAAGCATTTGAGTGGAGTCATCTTACACCATAAACATACTGATTTCTTGGATCAAAGATTCTTACAAATATACTTAGCATCAAAAGCCTTCATTCATTGTAAAACATCTTGTGACCAGACAGATTCTTAAATTAACTTTATTATTACTTTCTTCTTGACAGTGCTTGCAAACAGTAAGCTACCATGTTGTTTAGTTTAGTTCTATGTTTGCATCACCCAGAGTAGACCTAGCGTGCAATGATGTTTGCACAGAGTGTTTGCCCCAGTAAGTGGCTGCCTATAGTGTATTCAGTTGATGTTTCAACGACAGAACACCTTTGTCTTGTGTAAATTACAGTTTTAGTCAAACTTGAGTTTTGCAGCTCTTAACACTATCTTGAATATGCTTTTACTGCACATCAAGGGTAACGATAGTGCACAGGCTTGTCATGCAGAGTTATGCCCCTTGGTCATGCCAGGATCCACTGAATATGGGTTCATTTCCAGATTTGCTAATAGTACCCTTGTTCTATTTGAACCCATGCACAGTGCTTCTGGTTGAACATTACTTAGCGGTTGTCGTCTATGATCGACTCTTTCATCTATGATCGACTTCCATTCCCAATCAAGGTTATTATATGACTGAGGTAGCATTGCAGGCAGCGTTATATCTGATTCACTTGCTCACGCACCTGGCAAACAAGATTGTTTCTTCTCAGGCACCTCAGCATCAGCATACATGCCACCATCACATGCCAGCAATTTTAAAATATTTTACACCTTGACACTTACATTATAATTTTTAGAAAACAGACTGTTAATACACGTTTTTTATTCTTTTATCATTGTTTGTACAATTTAGAAGTCTTAAATTAGCCAACATTATAATGATTTTATTAATATAATCCTTTTGATGTAAGTAATATGAGTTTCCAAAGTATTTGCAACAGTGAGTTTGTCATGATGACGAGTTTAATAATAAATACATCAATATGTATACTGTGGCCTGGTCACATGTCACCTGTCACTTCTCTGTTCTGCTTGCACCGATACAGACACTCATCAATATCAAATTAACAATTCATATCCTCTAGTTCATGTGTTTCACCGATATTAACTTTCGTTATATGAGGAATCTATTAGATAGTTTCAATATCCAGCTTTGCAAAGTAAAGTACTTGGCAACCGTATGTTTTGTACAATTATCCTTACTTCATCTCTCAAAGGTTGTCAGTTTCACTTTGTTAGTGATGCCGATCAATTTCGTGATCCCATCCAACAACCCGATTAGGTCCAGTGCAATTGAATGAGTGAGAAATGCACCATCTGTGTATATTTGGCTATCAATTGGCTGTGTTGTGTCCTGCGAGGCCTCCCCAGGGCCAGGTACTTAGCTTCTCTCCCCCTGTGCTATGCTGTAACTATGTCAGGCTAACTGTACATTTCATGCATTCAGCTGTCAATCATACACTTGATGTGGGGCAGTCGAGGAGGGAGGCACCATACCTCACAATATTTTTTTTAATCTGTTCAATTGGTACAGATTCTGTTTTCTCTCTTTGTTTTGTTACAATTACATTTTGTCATTTAATATGTTTAAACAGAATTCTTTAGTAACATGAAATATTTGTTTTCAATTATGTTTGGAATTTTGTAAAAAATCAAGTATGATTCTTAATGTAATCTAGAATTGTTTGACATACATGAAATAAGAAGAAGATACATATAGCATATCAAATTTATCTACTTAATTTAATTTATCTGCTGTAATTTAATTCTTCAAATCTCTAGCATCTGAAATATCAGTGTATCAATGCCTTTGATTACATTGTTATTTTCAAAATATGTTCAAGTGCATGAGTAGCCCCCGGTATAGGGCCCCTGTCAAGTCATAAGGTTCTGCCTGTATCATGGCTATCTGCTCTGCTATTGACCCATGATCAATTAATTGTCTCAACAACTCCATGGTCATTACGGTGCTGGAATGGTCCGCATAAAGTTGTGGCAACTTGGATTATCAAGTATTCAATTTGTGGAAAGCGTTTCCCTATTTTCAAAAACATCCACATCGGCAGCTTTGAAACTTTGGATTTAGATTTGGTTGGTTTCCAGTGGATGTCGATTTCACAATGGTTATTGATGATGAGGTAGGCGGATGACTGGCAGGTGAAATGAACGAAAAGAAGGAAGTGCTTTGTGGACACTCATTCAGCCACAGTTAATACAAATTTTTGTATTCTTTGGAATCTTGAAATTATAGATGGCAAATTGTTTTGTGGATAATATTGTTTATAAATACCTCGTTCTTCATAGACATGTGTGTTGTTGTAGCGCGCCAGGAAAGCAATGAAAAGAAGATGGTTCCCCTCGACAAGGCTCAGAATGTCAGTCGGCAAGACATTGTACGTGCAAGTGACTTCAACTTTCTTACAGTTTTAGGAAAAGGTAGTTTTGGAAAGGTAAGATATTTTCATTTCACCATTATCAATGTGAACCTGTAGAGTGCTGAGTGGGAATAGAATTTACAATGTCATGATGTTACAAGCCCAAATACTTCCTTGATGATGTGTTCAGACTGCTGCAGTGACTAGTGCAATGTGACTTGTTTGCTGAAATGTTGGTCTGAGCTCTGTAATTCTTTCTGGGGTGCCTGCTGGGGCCATTGTGTGTGTGACATGCAGGCATATTCTAACTAAATAACATCAGATAGTAAGAATTGAAACCTGGATTTACTGATTGATGTGAGCAACAATACAAGCAGTTGGGGGTACATTTGACACACCATCAACCAAGACATGGGTACAATGTGTGAAGCCCAATACAAGTAGTTGGGGGTACATTTGACACACCATCAACCAAGACATGTACAATGTGTGAAGCCCAATACAAGTAGTTGGGGGTACACTGACACTCCATCATGGTACAATGTGTGAAGCCCAATTCTGGTGTTCTCCGCCATGATATTGCTGGAATATTACTAAAAGTGGTGTAAAAAACCCAACTATCCCGCAGGTTTCACTCTAACATCCTGTCCCAGAATCTCAACAGGTTTCCAAGTCATAACGTCTAACATCTAGCAAAGGTGTCCCCAGTGGTGTGTTCCATGTGTGATCCTGACTTGACAGACCCACTTGCCATGTTTCAATATTCCTCATTCCTGCATAAAACAATGATCACTTCCTCCGACTTTGACTCAGGATCTGATCATGCTGTTTGTTCCAGATTTGGGGAGGATCGTGATCAAGACTTGACCATACTGTTTCCCTTCTCCAAGTGTCTGGGATTGGGTTATTCAAGACCTGACCTTGCTTTTTCTCTTTATTTTTAGGTAGTTTTAGCGGAAAGGAAAGGGACTGACGAACTTTATGCAATTAAAATATTGAAGAAAGATGTCATCATTCAAGATGACGATGTAGAATGTACGATGATAGAAAAACGGGTTCTGGCGCTGCCCACCAAACCTCCATTCCTTGTTCTCCTTCACTCCTGTTTCCAGACCATGGTGAGTAGCACTTCTCGAGTCACAAAAATACTGATTTTCTGCTAACAATTATCTTAGGGTGATTGACTAAAGACAACAAAATTAGACTTGTATTATGTATTTTATGGCTGTCAGTCAACCTACATATATTTTTTACATGGTCATTGTTACTTGAATACTTCAGAACATGATTGTTCTAAACTGAAAAATTGAATCCATCAACTTTGTATCTCACATAGAAGGAATTCTGACTGATAATCTTGCTCTGTTTGAAGCTGACCCATAAAGGTTTTTGCAACATTTTGTGATTAATGATGAAACCTGGCACAATCTGCAAGTACTTGATCGGTGGATGTTTCTTAAGGCTGTCTGTATTACAAACATCACAAACCCCTGATTATTTCATTCACTTGTCACAGCAAAGTCGTTTCTCAGTTGATATAGTTTTTGTGGAGTTACCTCTGTGACATCATGTAAGGTCGCCAACAAAAGATTTCACTATTACGCAGTTTCTGTTAGGTGCTTCTTAGAACTCGGTCAACCCTTGTCCATATGATAAATCAAAGTTTGTGACAAATATGTCTCTGAATATTTATGAAGGTTGTGTTTGTAGACACATTTTCTTCTGATTACCTGTGACTGTTCAGACTGCCTCCGTGGTGTAGTGGTTAGAGCGTCCTCCCGGAGAGTGGAAGGTCGCGGGTTCGATCCCCGACCGCGTCATACCAAAAGACGTTAAAATATGGTACTTGTTGGTCCCTGCCTGGCGCTCGGCATTAATGGGTACAACAAGGACTGGTCGGCTCGGAGTCAGTATAATGTGTCTGAGTGGGGTATTCATGCTTCACTGCGGCATGGTGTCTCAGTGGGCTAGCACTATAAAACCAGCTTCAGTCTGGGCTAGTACAAGCAGCCGCACATACACATACACATGCATGCACGTCGTCATATGAGCGAAATATTCTCAAGCACGACGTTAAACCCAATTTCACTTCACCGCACCTGTGACTGTTCAAGCTGTCCATTATAGATAAGAATCTATTCCCTTCTCTTTCCAGGACCGCCTGTATTTTGTGATGGAATATGTGAATGGTGGAGACTTAATGTATCGAATTCAACAGGAAGGAAAGTTTAAAGAACCTGTGGCTGCGTAAGTATGCACTGCATGATGGGACATCCGATCTGTCATGTGTCTGTTATTCCCTTCTTCATATTCCAGATTTGTCAAATGTATGTTAAGGACACCGTAGGGCTGTTTACCCAAGATAAGACACTTGTAAGTACAGGGTTGGGTTCCTTGGACATGCCAGGGATCTATGGGTTTGGTTGGAATCACGGTTCATGCCAATTATGTTTCTAGATTTGTCAGCATCCTACCATGCTCTCAGGTATCGCTGAAGGGATAAGTATCTGATACCTGCATTTCTATGTTTGCCTCAACTCACCTCCCACTTCAGTCTGACATTTAGTGATGTAACAGGAATACCGTTCAAAGAAGGGTTAAAACCCTATTATAGATCGATGCTCATGCTGTTGATCACTGGATTGTCTGGTCCAGACTCGATTATTTACATACCGCCACCATATACAGTAGAAATCTGATAAGTAAAATTCCAAGGGACTCGCCAAAATTGTTTACTTATCAGGTATTTTACTTATCCAACTCATCAAAACCTGCAGATGACAACCATATGCATGTATATGTATGCATATGTAACAATGAACAACTTATCAGGGCTGGCCTCCCGTTGTCAGTGTATTGTCAACTGCTTGACGCCAGCGAGCTGTAAGTAGGATGTTTGTTTAGCTGGAGACTGACATGTGCCCCTCATGTCGGATTACGTGGTGATCGCTAATTTAGTTATCTGGTCTCTTTTATTAAGTAATTTACTTCAAGGGACTGTGAAAAGACGTTTAGTTAAGCGGTATTGTTTACTTATCCGAGTTTAATTAACCGGACTTTGATAGTGATAATTAATGAAGAAATTTGCCGGGACCAAAGAATAGTGTTTATTTATCCCGTCTGTTTAGTTAAGCGGTCTTTACTTAGGCGGTTTCCACTGTAGCTGGAATATTGCTGAGTGCAGCGTAAAACTGAACTCCCTCACCATGAAGCTGGATACAACTGGATGCAACTGAACTAGTTTGGGATGTATATGGTTTAAACATTTTTATTTCCAAAAGAGGAACCGGATTGGTAAACAAGCAGTATGGTGCTTATCTGAATACCGCTCCGGAATACAGATAAATTATAGATATAATAATCGTACGGAGAAAAACATGATATTAACAAACGATAAACAATAGCTTTCTGAAAATGTAACAATCATAAACTGTAACATAGCCGCTTTTAACGTTAGAACCATTAGTGTACATCCAGTTGGGATGTATATGTAATCACATTTGTACCACAGTCAGACACAAACATTGAAAACTACTACAAACCATATCCTTTCTTTCAGGTTTTATGCAGCTGAAATTGCCATAGGTCTGTTCTATCTCCATTCCCAAGGAATCATCTATAGGTGAGAGCATGTACAGATGTATACTTTGTGATCAGGTTCTGCTTTATGATGGCAGTTTATTCTGTCTCGGTAAGATGTCGTACCAGTGTATCAACCATTGATTTAGAAAACAAACTGTTCAAAGATTTATGGATTTGTGTTCGCAGTACAAACAGCAGGGAAAGAAACCTTTCAAAATTTCCCACTAGACCACAGGACCAGTGAGGTGATAATGATTAGTGGTCCTGTCTGTACTTCACTGGTCCTTCACTGGTCTTCACTGACCTTAGGTGATTCAGGGTTTTACCTCGACTCACAAACATGGGGGTCCCGTTGACTCCCAATTATTAGTTTTAGGGTCCATTCAGGCTATTTGAAGGTCCTGTGAAGTAACATACAGAACTGTACATTTAACAACTCTGAAAGGAACAACCAAACACTTACCAAAGTCATAGATGTGTTTTGGGTACAAGGAATAATATTCCTACTGGACATAGAGAATTATTTTTGTGAGTCACATAAAACCCAGGTGATTCGTTCATATTGTTTTCTCCATTGGGCTGATGAAGACTAGTTAATCTCTGACATTAATGTTTGTAGTATATTTTACATCTTGATTGTCCCCAGCTGTAAGCATCATCTTCTCTGAATCGATAAGACATGATATTGATCTGTTTGCTAATAGTAACATTTGTTCGAGAAGTTCTAAAACTGCTGACTGACAATTTCTGACGGGAAACCTTTTGGAAACCTTGTCAGGCCAATAATGAACATGTAGGTCTTCTCTGAAGCATGATAGTTATGAAGACTGACGGCAATCTAGGTACTCCATCAACGTTATGGATAGGTATTACTTTGAATATTCCTTGTTGCATGTGTTGTTTCAAATTTATAATATTTTCCATATTTGTGCGTTTAGATGGAATACTAAAATACTTAAATATTAATTTTGACAGCAAGTTATATGATGTCTCTGTCATTTAAAAGCTACAGTGTGGTGGTACTACTTCCTTAACTCTAAGGTAACGACATCATTTTTATGAAGTTTTAGGACAGAACTTTGGAGTTAGTTGTAACCTGTTTTACACATCTGCTACAAAAGTGTCCTTTGTTTTCAGAGATCTTAAGCTTGATAATGTGATGTTGGATGCCGAAGGACACATCAAAATAGCTGACTTTGGCATGTGTAAAGAAGGTATCCTCAACAACAAAACAACACGGACATTCTGTGGAACACCGGATTACATTGCGCCCGAGGTACTATCTCAGCTTCCATTGTCCTTCAGCAGAGGCAAAAGCTCACCATTGCCATTGATTAAAACCCACTGAAAGGATCATGTCATTGGTTGGAGATATTGTTGATTATTAATCATCACTTCAGTAGGAAATGCTGTAAAGGAGAAAGATTTATTATTAATAGGCTGCTGTGATATGCTGTAATATTGGTGTTTGTGGCGGGAATCCCATTCATTCGCAAGATTCGTTTCTGTTCCGGGTTTAGCGTTGAGGATTTGGTTTTATGGCTGTGGAGCGGTGTTAATGATCAAAGAAGTTTGATATTAATATAATGTACAACAGAGAATGTATGCCATCAACAAGCTGTCCGCCATGTAATATTAATCAGTTGCCCTATCATTTGCTAAAGTTGTTTGGTAATATTACCAATAAATGGAATGTCAGTATTGGGTTATTTATCTACCTCATCAAATTGACTTACATTTACATGGATACGATTATAATAGGGTGTGAGTGAGTTAATATTTAACGTCACATCGGCAATATCACAGCCATATCGTGACGATCCGATTATAATAACTCCTTGGTTACAATTTGTTGAAGAGTTGTATATTTGTCTTTTCAAATATGGATTGTGATAAAACTATGATAGTCTTTTGTGGTAACAAGTCAATGTGTGACTGAACTTTGTATATCACTACTAGAGATAGACCAGCATCATCTTCCACAAATCAATGTTAGCACAATGATGACTGTACCTCCATTACTTTAACACAGACTTATGATTGTCTAAGCAATAAAGTTGTTTCGTGTTGTTTCAAGTGGCACTATTTTGTAGTGAGTTAATGTTGTTTCATGCCCTTGTTAGCCACATATATCGCGGGAGCTTGTAATTAATCAAGTCAGGCAACAATTCATGGTACAGGGGCAAGAGGTGTCACCCAAAATCTTCCTGGCCATAATTTGGTCCTGATCCAGATTTTTGTTACAACTTCGTCCACTCATCCATTGATCTTTCGAGCCCTGTGGAGTAGTTATGTCTTTGTTAACGTAATGTAGTCCTAAAGAACATGTGTTCCAGTTGTTGACATGTCTTGTTTTCCTTCCCAGATCGTGTTGTACCAGCCGTATGGCAAGTCGGTAGACTGGTGGGCATTTGGGGTGTTACTCTACGAGATGCTTGCTGGACAGGTGAGGCAAAGGCTCTTTCTTTCTCTAACACCATATACAGACAACTGGACACTTACAACCATTACAGGGGTGGTGGGTAGCCCAGCGGTTAAAGCATTGGCTCGTCATGCCGAAGACCTGGGTTTGATTCCACACATGGGTACAATGTGTGAAGCCCATTTCTGGTGTCCCCCGCCGTGATATTGCTGGAATATTGCTAAAAACGGCGTAAAAACTAAACTCACTCATTACAAGAACATTCTGATTCTAGCACTTTCCAGTTCGCCTCCAAAACTATTCATTGTCCAATTGGTTGAGAAGGAACATGAAAAGTGACCACAGACTTTGTGTTGAAACCCTATTATACCCTACAATAAAATACAGTTTTTTCACCAAGGTGCTACAAACTGTGACACATTGGCTTCCTCTCAAATTAACTGCATATGATTGTCACTATATTGTAGGCATGACTTTATGAATCACTTTCAAATAGTGATGATACATGATGTATCTTGCCACATTGATCTCATCCATCACAAACACATGCAAAGGCTTTCAATTGTTCACCTGAAGAACAACACCACAACATACACTACAAAATAGGGAATTGCATCGAGCATCATTTTTGTTACTGGGACATCAGTTTTGAAATATCTTCCACATATCTACTATCAAACTTTTTGAAAGTTTTGGAGGCTTAAATGTTGTAGATCGCACATGACTGATTTGTTCATTCATTTGAGAGTTATGTCCCCTTGTTTATCAGTTTGGTTGAATGTCTTGTCAGTCAGTCATGGTTTCCTTGTCCGTGAGTTGTAGTGTTTATGCAGAAGTACGACTGACATACAGCAGCTCATTTGATGGTAATCTCATTCTGATTCATGGATCTTTCTCATCTGTTTGATATCAAGGAAAACTGTGTTGTATCAATCACACATGAGAGAAATATATGCCTAGGTATTTGAATTGGATAGAGAAAACTGACAGACTGACAGACAGACAGACAGTTTATTTTGTAATGTCGGTCTAATGGCCCTTAATACAGTTACATAATATAAGGTACAGATGGACAGTGGTCATTCTCATTAACTACATTGTAGCTTTATATCTGCAAGAGAGTATTTGGTGTATAAATAAAGCAGTAATGAATATAATACGTGGATGTTTAGAGCTTAAAATATTATGGAGTGAGAGTGGGCCCTTGTATACATTTCTAAGTTGGATGAGATATTTTTCGCAGAAGTGTTGGTACTGTTTACAGGAAAAGAAAATTTGTTTTTCGTCTTCAATTTGTGGGGAATTGCAGAATGTACAATAGGTAGAGAAAACTGCCTTATCTTGAAGTAGCATTGACAATTGTGTCTCTTCATAAAAGGGTTATTGAAAATTTGCCTTATGATGAAGTTTGAATGAAACCTGTGTCTTATCATTAGTATCAGTGGAATAATGAACATTGCTGAAGCATTAGTATAAGCTGCGACATGGTCAGGTTTCAACAAACATTATGCCTTGTCATGAAGTTTACATTAAAACTGGAGAGTCATTCGACCACTAGCCCCATCAGAGAGCTGTAGAAAGAAGGTCCTGGATGACCTGTGTTTTGCTGGACACTACAGGAATAAAACAAAGGGTAGCCAGCTTGTAGTCAGTGTCATATGTAAGGGTATCCATGTCACTACAGCGTGATATATGTGTTGGCTAGTATAAGAACTGTCTGGACTAATACAAGCAATCACACATACACACGTGTGTCAGCATCCTTTAATATCTATAAACATATCTATAAACTTGTTCCTCTTAGAAATATCACTGACACTGCTGTATTGTACAGTACTGTTTTATTGGAGTAATACTGATGCTGTGTAATATTGTGTCATTGTCAAGATTTCAGTTATTTGTACTCCATGGCCAAAAAGAAATAAAAATTTGAGGAACATTTTCTGATACTTTTGCTCACAATTCTGCAAACATTTAAGTTAGATTTTTGTGAATATCCTAGTTTAGCTCCCGTTGAACTTAGAAGGCATATTTCTAATTAACTTAAAATGTTTAAAAGATTGTCTGCAAATTAATTTGCTTGTTTTTCTTTCTAAAACAAACTCCTTAAAGAATCATTTGGAATGAGTCAGTTAAAACAATATTCAGTTAAGATAATAGGCATTGTTTCAGTAAACCTAAGCAGCTTTCTTAGGTTATGACTCCATTGTTTAAATTCTACTGTGTATTTGACAAATTCTACAGCAGACAAATGGGGAAATTCTTAATGTGTTCTGCAATAAAGGGGATTTTCTGCAAATTTGGTACATTTCTGCACCAAGTGAGCATTTCTGCAGGGTTTTACACAGACTTTGGAAAAAGAGTCATGGTGACTCACATGGTGACTCACAGTATTTATTTTTGGAAGTCATTTTCAATATTTGGGAGTCATGAAAATTTCAGTGTGATATTTATGTGTGTATATGAAAATGTTATTGTTTTCTGTTGTATTGTCATTTATATGTTAATAAATAGTAGATGTTTCACTGTTCAATTCAGTCATATCAAACTCTAGTATACTGAACAAGTAGTCAGGCTTGTGATTTATTCACTGTAACATATAGTTATTAACATGAATTGAAAGAAATATCTAAATTAATGAAGATCTCACGAAAACTATCATTGTTTGCTTATCAAATCAATTTTTTTTTAACTGATCATGAATTCTGAGGGTCACTCATAAAACTTGTGCCTAGCTTGACTCGTATGATAATATTTGGAGAGTCTTTTACACAATTGTTGCGTCAAATACTCAGGAATCATGCGTCATGTAAAACCCTGTTTCTGCAAAATATTCCTCAGGCGCAGAATATAGCAGAGCCTAAGTCCTGGCCTTATGCAGTATTAATACAGACAATGAATCTGACAAAGGTGATCGTGAGTTGTGCAGGGAAAGCCTCCCTATACACATGTATCCTCTTACTCTCAACCCACGTATGATTGATGAGATGGGGTGGGTATAGACCTATAACCAACCACCATCAAGACGTCTAAGGAGCAATTATTATGTCAGAATTCCTCTCTCTCTGTCAAAGAAGGAAACGTTACACCTAAGAGCCATCTCCGTACCATCCATCAATACATATGGCAGATTTGTCACTAATTGCCACTTTCCTAGCGTCCCAAGTATGGCAGAACATGCTCTGTTTAAGACTGAGATACCTTTGTCCGAGCTGCTCATATGCTCTGTTTTCCCACATTGATTGAAGCAGAACATTGCATCGTCTTCGATGTTATTCTACAGGATTTGACAAGATGAGACAGAGTTGTAACAAATGAGAGAGGCACTCCTGGGAGGGTGCAGTCCCTACTGTCCGGGCTGCTACTTTGCTGAGTCAACATTATTTCACACTCCATCACACTCCCGGAGCACTTTTGTCCACTCCACACATTCATATTGATGGAAGCAAATGTGTTCCTGCGGTGTTTGATCTAACTGTTTTCTTTGCAAGTTTATTAAATTCGGATCAGTGCAATATGAGCTGCCAAGTTTGGATAATCCTGCTTTCTGTACACACCTCTGTTAGCACATCTCCGATAACATATAGATCACAAGTCTCGGTAATAGTGGTGCTTTGTTTGTAGAATATTACATAGTTGTGCTTTTCCCTTGGCGACAAAATGATCTGTTCATGTTTCAGTTGTCAAAGCGTCTTCCAGTTTCTTGTTTAAGTTTCATTTTGCTCTTAGCAATGTTGACATATTTCAACAATCTCGCATCATTCTTCAGAATTCAGTTTAGGAGCTGAATCTGTTGCCATTTTCTGTTATATGTTCAGGATAATGTGTTATTGAACATCACAACACATTGGGCACAGATCATTGCAATATTTCCAGAATTTTCATTATTACAGCTTCTCGTGCATTGATATTCATTTCCACATTGATGGGATATGTTAGTGAGTATCGTCTCTCATCACGATGGTTTCCAAATATCATCATTAATATAAAGAATATTTTGCTCAGTCAGTCAATATAATAAAATTGATTCAGAATTCATTTAAAGCAGCTTGTATCTTGACTCCAGCCACATTTCTAATAAATATTTGTCATTTTATACATTCAGAGTGTATGTTCACATGAAAAGGTAGAGCCAGTTTTTATTCAGATTTATATTTGAAGACTACATCCGAAGTTTTATGGCTGCTCTTATGTCAGTGAGGCTTAAAAGATTCTCTTGAGAAGCAATAGGATGCCTGATCATAAATTGCTATCGGTGCTTGATATGTTCGGTTGAGGTCGGAAGTTTTGCAGGTCACATCTGTAATTGTCAGGAAAGTGTTTAATGAAGATCAGTTCTATGCCCTATGTCATGAAAGGCGATTGCTTGTAGTTAGCTGCTGCCCAGTGGTTAAAGCGTTCGCTCGTCACGCTAAAGGCCCGGGTTCAATACCCAACGTTGGTACAATGTGAGAAGCCCATTTCTGGTGTCCCCCACTGTGATATTGCTGGAATACTGCTAAAAGCAGCGTAAAACTTAACTCACCCACTTGTGGTTAGTCTTGTATACAATGTCACAATGGTGGCTGTGGTTATCACTGAAGGCACTCAACTCCTTTGTTTGTTTAAGTGACTGAGTGAGTGAGTTTGGTTTTACGCCGCTTTTAGCAATATTCCAGCAACATCACGGCGGGGGACACCAGAAATGGGCTTCACACATTGTACCCATGTGGGATTCGAACCTGGGTCTCCGGCGTGACGAGCCAACGCTTTAACCATTAGGCTACCCCACCGCCCCTTGTTTGTTTAAAATGTCGGATTTCATAGATATGCATGAGGTCATTAGTGTCTTCAAGTTCACTTATTTGTCTTTGGTTGTTCTTGGGGTCTAAGATGACTTTGTGTGTTGTAATTGGCTGTAGCCTCTTCAATTATAAAGCATTCTGTTCTGAGGAAACATTTTATAATTCCATATGGCATCATGTTTAACGCAGACGAATTTTGATGATATTCTTTATGTGTGATGAATCAATTTCTGATCAAAT